ATAACTTCCAGTGTATAGTACAAAAAAATGAAAAATTTATATAAAATAATTTGAATCTTAATTTATAATTCTTGCATTTTAATTTCAATNCAAGTCACAAGTTACATTTATTGTGATGACTTGTGACATATTGTAATGATTCTAAGGGTCACTCTTGGCCTTCATTTACGACCGTTGGTTGCGCCACTTGGAACGATGAGTGTGGATATGTCGGAGGAGGAGGAGACATGATGTAGCAAGGAGTACCAGGCTTGGGGATATTGGTGCACCCATTTGGTCCTCCAGACTGCAGAGACTGTATCACGAGCTTTTTGTTTTTCAACCAATCTCTTTCTTCTCCATCTAGCAATCTGCAGGCTTGGTATGGTTTGATGCCTAGAAGGCAAACAATTGCCACAATGGCTAAAACAATACTTAGAGCTTTCATCTTGTTGGCTTATTAAGCAAAGAATGAAATAAAGTATGGTGAATACATAAATGCAAAGAGATGCTATATTTATACACATCAAGTCGTCTGATTGTATGACTTGAACTTTTCATGTTATAAGATTGATGGAACGGTTTTGAACATTGACGGAGGGTTTGACAAGAAAATAAAAATTGAATGGGTCAAAAATGAAGAAAATAACTAGGTTTACATTCAATACTAAAAGCCTTCAATATGCATATTTTTCACCTTCTACTTTTTCCATGAAAATCACACTAGCATGCAATATAGGCTCGTCAACAAATGAGAAAACTCTTTCGGTTCATTGTGATTGGTAATTCCAAGAGGTAGCTCAAGTGGTAATAAGGACGAGCTGTAAACTCAGGCGTCTTAAATTTGAATTTTCACAATCCTTTTGGACCTGGCCGTGATAAATTTATCTTTCATGAATATCCTAATCCCGGCATAGATGACTTGCCTTTAACTAGACTGGGGAGGGGATAAGTCGATGTACGTGTAAATTGACATGCCTAACTGTTGAACTAGAAAACAAAAAGAACAAAGATCATGATCGATCATGGTTATTTTTAAGTAATTGTACCTTTACCTTTAAAAAATATATTTTGATTTTAAAAAGTAGTAATTTTTGGTATGATTTCTCCTTTTCTTTCAACTAAATTCACCACACATAAAACTTCCAAAAATTATAAATCTGCTCGACATAAGCCCAAGAGAAAATTAAATAAAAAAAAAATTTAATTCTATAATAATTCATACAATAATAAATAAATCAGTCAGTCAAATGTTTTCTTACAATGTTAATAGAATATGTTTATCATGTCAGTCAAAATTAAATTATTCATGTTTGAATCTATTATTGTCAAATGACCGGGACTTTTTTTTTTTTTTTGGCTCATGTGATTTTGTTTTGTTTGGAAGCAAAGGAGGAGTCCTTTGAATGCTTAATTAATTCTTGGGTCNTATTTATTTCTATAATAATTCATACAATAATAAATAAATCAGACAGTCAAATGTTTTCTTACAATGTTAATAGAATATGTTTATCATGTCAGTCAAAATTAAATTATTCATGTTTGAATCTATTATTGTCAAATGACCGGGACTTTTTTTTTTTTTTTTGCTCATGTGATTTTGTTTTGTTTGGAAGCAAAGGAGGAGTCCTTTGAATGCTTAATTAATTCTTGGGTCTCGGCCTTTGAACGCGTTGGATGAGAGTTTAGTCGCAGAGATTATATGGTATGTTTGCCCAAGCAGCTGCGGATGGTGGCAAGGACTGGAATTCAACAACGCAGATATGGCTGTCACCTCCCGTACGTCTACCCCTTATTCCCCTTCGACACGTTCATCCACAACACTTATCCACTGCTAAATTCATGTCCCTTGTATGACGTGAAAGGGGAGTGTAACCGGACCGAATCTATTTTTGGCAAATGAAAACGTGTCACATGAGTATATATAGGTCAAGTTTATTCTATAGGATATGATCCCAAGAGATACCANTACCGGATCGAATCTATTTTTGGCAAATGAAAACGTGTGACATGGGTATATATAGGTCAAGTTTATTCTATAGGATAGGATCCCAAGAGATACCACAATTTTATAGGAGGGGTGAATGCCTACGTACTTTCGGTTCAATCACACGCGTGTGCCACTCACCTCGCCACGACTTGGGCTTGAACAAAGATGTGGGTGTAGTTTAGACCAAGCCTTATTTGTTTTGAAAAAATTCGTGTAACAAATTGAGTGTGAATTTCTGAACCAAAATTTAATTTTGCTACTCGTTGGATTTGAATTCGCATGGTTCAGATTTTGTCTTTCTTCTAGTCCGAATTTTTTTAGTGTCTATTCATAGAAAACAGTTAGACATTGATGTTGTCTGGCTACATGTGTGTCTTCTGCGTTTTGTCTTTTCGCATGGTATTATTGGTTACACATTGGTGTTATAGGACTAGACCAATTTGTCTATATAAACCCAAGTTCATTATTATTCTGTATCAATCATTTTCGGAGTTAAGAAAGACATTAGTATATTATATTTTCAGTATTAAGATAGTCTGTATTTGGAGAGTAAATTATATAATTTATGATTCGCTGGACGAGTAGATTGGAGTACTACTTCTATTCGCGTGAAGATCATTATATCCCGAGAGGCAGATGTTGGGATTTCCATAAGCACACCAAGTGTGAGGGCGAAATCTGTCTCAAGGACATAATGTCAAACACTAACCTTTATCTACTTAAAGTTTAATAACAGTTCATGTTCTGCAAACAGATTAGTTTTTATATTATTTAAACATAGATGTATCGTGTTACTGTTTTGTTCGTATATATTATTGTTTCATACTTGTAACTGTTTTGCTCTTGACTATTACTGTTTTGTTTTAAATTATATGTTTTAAATTCGAAATTTCAATAAGTAATTTTATTATATTTAAAATATCACAAACAACAACCAAGTGATACCAGAGCATAGGGGCGGAGGCAGAAATTATTCATAGTGGGGCAACCTAGAACTATTTCCATATTGTTTTTCTTTTAGAAAATTTATCCATAATTAATTCAAAATCAATATGTTTGATTTAACTCAAACTCCATTTTTTTTTCTCTTTGAACATAAACTCAATAATTTATTATTGAGTTTTTGACAAACAACATGTTAGGACTAGATGTATTCATTTAATAGACAAAGTTAATAGAAATAATTTAGAAAAACTTAGATATAAGAATACTTTGATTGATCACAGACAAATTGTTAAAGTCCAATTGTTCGAATAATTCAATTAAAAATATAATTCATAATAGATAACTTCCAGTGTATAGTACAATTAAATTAAAAATTTATATAAAATAATTTGAATCTTAATTTATAATTCTTGCATTTTAATTTCAATTTATAATATTATGATTTATATGTTCAAACCCCAATTTATTACGATTTCAAATACCAAAATCCAATTTCAATTCACATTACTTTCTTTGCTGCTTGTGTCATCTTGTCACAGATGAGGTCTTTCAAGAGTTTGTGTTCTGATTACATAAATAAATTTTTTTTCCTCTCATGAGTTCTTCACCAACACAACACCAAATCCCGCCAAAACCACCAGATTTATCCTCTAAGACACCACAAACTTATGCTTCTCTATTCAATAACCAATCTTTAGAGCCCGTTGTTACATCTCAATCACAAAAAATCGACAAGCCTCTGGTATTTTACCAAAGGGAGCCAGCATTCTATTTCACCAATGAAGAGATACAAAGGTCTAGTCAGCCCCTCCAATATGCCTTGATTGGTAAATATTCTTATGGAAGACCCTCTCTTGGTGTTATCAAAGAAGTTATCAGATCTAAATGGAGTCTCAAAGGTGATTTTGAAGTTGGTTCTATTGATCAAAGACATGTTCTTATAAGATTTGAATGGCAAGAAGACTATGTCAAGACATGGCTGAAGGATGCAACCTTGATTGAAGACTATCTATTCAGATTTTTTAAGTGGTTTTCAAGCTTTGTTCCAGGCATTGAACCCTCCATTGTGCCTTTGTGGATCTCACTGCCGAGATTGCCTTTGAATTTCTTTAACAAGTCTTACTTGGAGCTTTTGGTAAAACCCATTGGAAGAGTCTTAGCCTATGATCAGGCTACTCTTTCTCTATCAAAGCCAGGGGTGGCAAGAGTATGTGTGGAGGTTAACCTACTGCAGAACAATCCTAACAGGTTTTGGATTGACATGGGAGAGGAAGGAACAAGATGGCAAAGAATAATCTATGAAAGAAGGAAACAATTCTGCAAGAGATACAAGAAACAGGACCATGGAGAAGAAGCTTGCAGGAAAAGGAGAGTATCGCTTATGGAGGAAGATAACCAGGAAAGGAGTCCGGATTTGGTAACAAATAACGCTGATAAGGTAATCAAGGAGCAAAGCAAGGGGAAGGAGAAATTACAGAATGCACGTTTTGGGAAATCAAATAAGGAAACTCATGGTTTAGTTAAGATTCTGTCGTATCCAAGACAAGAAAAAACAGCACAGCAGACAAAAGTAATTTGGAAACATCAGCAACGGCCCAGGAAAGCCAATAATCCAATTAATGAGGATACAGTTGTGATTGAGGAAACAGCCAATAAGACCCCTGGAATAAGGGATATGGGAGAGGAAAATCCAATTATAATACTGGAGAATGGTGACCTTTCAGGGAAAGATAATGAAGTCCAAAATAATGAATATCCGCCGCATAAAGAAAGTGCATCACACAAAGATTCGGAGGACCAATTGAAAGATTCGGAGAATCCACTGATTTCAAACGCAAATTTGGTTATGGAGGGAAATAATCAGATAGGAGATCCTAACAATGAGGATAGGTGCAATGTTGAGGTGCAGTGCTCGCAGAGTGTTCTGGAAAATTTGGCCAATGCAATTAAGCTTACCAATTTGGAGTTCAATGGATTAGGTGATGGGCAAGATATGAATGTTTCTTTGGGAATCTAGGAACTACCAACAGCAAATGCAGAATTACTGAAGTCTTCTCTAAATGATATACCCTGTTGTCAACTGAACATGGAACTTTCCCCTTCATCTCAGTCTGTCTTCTTAGTTGAACATGATTATAAAGCTGGAGGAAACAATCACATGAGTCAGGATGATGATAGTGGAGTGAGATGTTCTAAGGAGCCTCCGGATAAGGGATATTACTCTGATACTGAGGTTTCTTCAAGTACAGATGGTTTTCAAATAGACTTGTACTCAGCAACCTTTGCAAATCATAAGGCTAAGCAAGCATTGCAGGAGCAAGTCCCACCTCAGTCAGGTATGGTTACTAGATCTAAATCTAGCAAATTACCTTCTTCTCATTCTCAATGATCAATATAATCTCGTGGAATGCGAGAGGTGCAAGAAATGAGCCCTCTAGATTAAGACTAAAGAAGATGATTAAGATGCATGGTGTTAGCCTTGTTTCGATACTGGAACCGAAGATGGTATCTTCTAAGCTGAGGGGTCTTTGTAATTTTATGGGGTTCTCCTCTTCTTTAGCTAATCCATTAGCAGAGAAAAATATCTGGATATTATGGGATCATAAAATGCAGGTCAAGATAATTGCTATTCATGAGCAAGCCTTGACAGTTCAAGCTACTTTTTTGGGCTCTCTTCCTTTTAATGTAACCTTTATTTATGCTAAATGTGATCATATCTTGCGAAAGACCACTATGAAATCACTTGGCTTCTTTATCACCTACTAATGTTCCTTGGATGCTAGTTGTGGATTTCAATGCAATTACTGTCTCAGCAGAGAGGAAAGGAGGTTCCACTCCAAGTCTGTCAATTATGGCAGAATTTAATGATTTTATTAACTCTTTGGGGGTTGCAAGACTCTGGTTTCTGAGGTTCTTAGAGGTAGAAGATGAGATTGCGAGGTGCAGGGTAAGTCACTTTTATGACCTCTACATATCGGAAATTCATCAACTGGAGGATGAGCTTTTTTCTGTTATACCAAATTTGGTCACTAACAAGGACAATAATATGCTTATCTCTCCAATTTCTCTGGAAGAGCTAAAAGGTAGTGTTTTTTCCATGTCTGTTCATAGTGCCCCAGGGCCTGATGGTTTTTCAGGCAAGTTTTTTCATTGTGCTTGGGATATCATTAAGATGGATTTGTTATCTGCAATTAATCATTTTATACAAGGAGGTCAAATTCCAAGGTCTGTGAATGCTACACTACTTACATTGATTCCCAAAAAAGACAACCCTATTTCCTTCTCTGAGTTCAGGCCAATTAGTCTTTGTAATTTTCTTTACAAAATCTTCACCAAGTTACTTGCATCTAGATTGAGTAAGGTTCTTCCGAAGCTGATCTCTAAGGAGTAGCATGGTTTTGTTAAGGAGAGAAGCATAGGAGATAGTATTGCTCTTGCTCAGTTGATGGTAAATGAGTTGGACAGGAAAGTGGAGGCAGGGAATGCAATCCTGAAGCTAGACATGATGAAGGCGTTTGACAGAATCGAATGGGACTTCTTATACCAAACACTCCGGAGGTTTGGTTTTTCTAAAGCGTTTGTGTCTATTATTTCAAATTGTTTCCAAAATCAGAGTATCTCGGTGGTTCTTAATGGGGCAAGGCATGGATTTTTTCCCACTTCTAAAGGTCTCAGACAGGGGGATCCCTTATCGCCTAGTCTGTTTATCATAGCAGAGGAAGTATTAAGTAGAGGACATCAGAACCAGTTTCAACAGGGTTTTATTAAAGGATTTCATACAGAAAGGGGTTCTATATTGCTAAGCCATCTTCTATTCGCGGATGATACGCTAATCTTTCTCAGGGGTACAAAGAAGTCAATGAGAAATCTCCTTAAGTTTATGAGTAGATACGAGGCATCATCTGGGCAGAAGGTTAACAAGCAAAAAAGCTCTCTTTATTGCTCTTCCAGAATTACACTTGCAAGGAAAAATATTCTTTCGCAAATTGCGCAAATTCCATTGAAAAGTTGTCCTCTAACTTATCTTGGATGTCCAATTATATGAGGGAGAGTAAAGCTAATGTACTTTGAGGAATTGCTAGCTAAATTTCAAGCAAGGTTGCAAGGGGTGGTATACTAAGTTGCTCTCTAACGTGGGCAGGGTTGTTCTTATTCGGTCAGTGCTGACTTCTATTCCAACTCATCTTCTTTCTGTCTTGAATTTGCCAAAAGGGATCATTTCTAGATTAAATTCTGCTATGGCCTCTTTCTTTTGGTCAGGGAGGCCAAATGTTAATAAGAGACACTGGTGCTCTTGGAAGGATATTACCATGCCTAAGAAGGAGGGCGATCTGGGAATTAGGAGATTTGAGGATGTTCAACAATCATTTCGAATGAAGCAGGTGTGGCAGCTGCTGCAAGGCACTTCTTTGTGGTCAATATTTTTTTCTTCTAGGTTTCTACGCAAGCAGCACATCCTAAGGAGTAAAAAACAAAGTCTATCCAGATCCTTCAGTTCTTTAGCCCCTTATTTTGAAATGGTAGTAGAAAACTCGCAGAAGTTGGTAGGCAGAGGTGACACAGTGGATTTTTGGTGTGATAACTGGACAGGAAAAGGGCCTCTCATTTTAAAGGCCATCGGTGTTCCTAATGTCTTTCCACTTATTTTTGATTTATTGGGAAATGGAGGTTGGGAATTAGAAGGTATTTTACAACTATTGGATGTTTCAACGTTGTAGGAGATTTATTTAGCCACGCCACAGTTGATAGATAAAGATGATAAACTTATATGGAAGCATACAGATCAGGGGAATTTCTCAATTAAAACTGCATGGAATCTAATAAGACCTTCTGGTATTGTAAACATTCAGGCAGAAACTATTTGGAAACAGGTGGTGCCATCTAGTTCACAATTACTAGGGTGGAAAGTTATGAGGAGTATTTTACCAATGGACTCCACATTTCAGAGCATGGGAGTCTCATTGGTTAGTAAATGCGCATTGTGTGATAGAGAATCGGAATCTATTCAGCATCTATTTATTGATTGTAATTATGCTAAAGCAGTGTGGGCAGCGGTATCTCGGTTTATAGGGTTTCAGCTCATCCCTAATGAGGCTCCAATGATGCGTTTCATGAGGCTAGCTAGGATTTACAGGCTTTCATCACTCGGCCATACTTTGGTAAGGGGGATTTCTTTGTTGGTATTCTGGCAAATTTGGAAGGAGAGATGTTGTAGACTCTTTGATGGTCAAAAGCATCACTCTTCTTCTCTATGTATGCGGATAATGGGTTATTGTAAACTATAAGTTCATAATATTAGGCCTAAGTTAATGGACAATCAGCAAGGATTGGAATTACTTAGATCTCTTAATATCTCTCCTACTACGTCTCCTAAGCTTTTGGTTAACTGGATCAGCTGGAAGTTTCCAACAGAGGGGTGGCTGAAACTGAATACAGATGGTTCTTCTAAGGGTAATCCAGGTATGTCTGGAGGAGTTGTTGTGCGCAATCACTGGGGGCAATTGGTTTTGGCTGGATCTTACTTTTATGGTTCGTCTACTAATATGTTTGCTGAAATGCGTGCTTTGTTGGATGATCTAAAGTTGTTGCTGGAATATGGACTAGAGCTCTACCCTCTCCTTATTGAAACAGACTCACAGGTTCTGGTGGACATGGTCTCGCATTCATCTTCTCCATCATGGAAATTTTGGGAGATACTAGATCAAATTTTTTCATCTTTAAGTAGGTTCAATTATCATTTAAAGCACATTTATAGGGAGGCGAATTCAATTGCAAATTCTTTGGCAAAGACAGGGGGTTCAGACATGACTTCAGTAATACATACATCATCAAACACATTGCCTATCCCTAGAAAGCTTCTGTTAATGCAAGATTTTCGGGGAATTAGAGCATTGCGCAAAAAATCTCCATCAGACAGTCATGATCATCTATTGCAGTTTATATAGTATTTGCAGGTGCTTAGCTTCAGAATATGAAGCATAATTCATAAAAGCAAATCAGAGTCCATATTTGGAAATAACAAGTACCTTTGGCAGCTTCTCCATTCTCCGGTTTTCTTGTTGGATATTTGTCTTCTGCTTTTTTTTTGATCTTGTTTCTCCTGCTTCGTTTGCTGGAAATCAGGAAGTGACTTTTTAGATTCTGCTGGATCTATCACAAAAGGCTTCTCCTGTTCTGTACTACTGTGGGATACTTCTTAGGAAGATCTGTGGATGGATGGGTGTTTTCCTCTCTTTTCTATACCTCTCTGCTTAATGGATTTTTTTGGGGAGTTTTTGTTCTTGGTGGTTGTCTGCTTCGTTGGAACTCCCCTTCCACTTCAGGCTCTATTGGATCTTCAAGACTCAGCTGCTGGTCTCTATTTCGTTTCATTGCTGCTATGAAGATATTAGGCTGGTTTTTTGTCATCTGCACTGTCATAGGAAGAAAAAGACTGGACTGCTATCTTTCATCGGGTGACTGTTCAGAGGATTGCTCAAGCTTCTGTTCAGATTCTTCCCCTGCCGCCTATCTTTTTTGTCTTCTCAAGAAGCCTTTTCAGCTGCCTATCAGATGGTTCTAACTCTCATCAACGCCTATTCAGCTGCCTTATCTGATAAGTGCAAACAGTCTTATCAGATGGGCAGCTATCAAGTGTTAAATGACCTTCTCAATTCCAACGCAAATCAGTGCACACGGTTCAGAACCTCTCTCAGCTTGTTTCTCAGCTCCCCACAACAGCTGCTTATGGGTGTCTGGGATTCTCTTGGCTGCTTCCTTCAGCTCCAGATTTCAGCTGCCAATGCCAACGACTGGAGCTCATTTATTAGACCAAGGCCGCTGCTTAAAAACATCTGCATCAATATTTGGCTGGTCATTTATTCTCTTTATGTAATATGCTTTTATTTCAATTTTTCAATCCATTGTAATAAGCATGCATTTTTTCTTTCTTTATTTTAAAATTTCTCATGTAATTAGATTGTATCGAGGGGTAANATCTCGTGGAATGCGAGAGGTGCAAGAAATGAGCCCTCTAGATTAAGACTAAAGAAGATGATTAAGATGCATGGTGTTAGCCTTGTTTCGATACTGGAACCGAAGATGGTATCTTCTAAGCTGAGGGGTCTTTGTAATTTTATGGGGTTCTCCTCTTCTTTAGCTAATCCATTAGCAGAGAAAAATATCTGGATATTATGGGATCATAAAATGCAGGTCAAGATAATTGCTATTCATGAGCAAGCCTTGACAGTTCAAGCTACTTTTTTGGGCTCTCTTCCTTTTAATGTAACCTTTATTTATGCTAAATGTGATCATATCTTGCGAAAGACCACTATGAAATCACTTGGCTTCTTTATCACCTACTAATGTTCCTTGGATGCTAGTTGTGGATTTCAATGCAATTACTGTCTCAGCAGAGAGGAAAGGAGGTTCCACTCCAAGTCTGTCAATTATGGCAGAATTTAATGATTTTATTAACTCTTTGGGGGTTGCAAGACTCTGGTTTCTGAGGTTCTTAGAGGTAGAAGATGAGATTGCGAGGTGCAGGGTAAGTCACTTTTATGACCTCTACATATCGGAAATTCATCAACTGGAGGATGAGCTTTTTTCTGTTATACCAAATTTGGTCACTAACAAGGATAATAATATGCTTATCTCTCCAATTTCTCTGGAAGAGCTAAAAGGTAGTGTTTTTTCCATGTCTGTTCATAGTGCCCCAGGGCCTGATGGTTTTTCAGGCAAGTTTTTTCATTGTGCTTGGGATATCATTAAGATGGATTTGTTATCTGCAATTAATCATTTTATACAAGGAGGTCAAATTCCAAGGTCTGTGAATGCTACACTACTTACATTGATTCCCAAAAAAGACAACCCTATTTCCTTCTCTGAGTTCAGGCCAATTAGTCTTTGTAATTTTCTTTACAAAATCTTCACCAAGTTACTTGCATCTAGATTGAGTAAGGTTCTTCCGAAGCTGATCTCTAAGGAGTAGCATGGTTTTGTTAAGGAGAGAAGCATAGGAGATAGTATTGCTCTTGCTCAGTTGATGGTAAATGAGTTGGACAGGAAAGTGGAGGCAGGGAATGCAATCCTGAAGCTAGACATGATGAAGGCGTTTGACAGAATCGAATGGGACTTCTTATACCAAACACTCCGGAGGTTTGGTTTTTCTAAAGCGTTTGTGTCTATTATTTCAAATTGTTTCCAAAATCAGAGTATCTCGGTGGTTCTTAATGGGGCAAGGCATGGATTTTTTCCCACTTCTAAAGGTCTCAGACAGGGGGATCCCTTATCGCCTAGTCTGTTTATCATAGCAGAGGAAGTATTAAGTAGAGGACATCAGAACCAGTTTCAACAGGGTTTTATTAAAGGATTTCATACAGAAAGGGGTTCTATATTGCTAAGCCATCTTCTATTCGCGGATGATACGCTAATCTTTCTCAGGGGTACAAAGAAGGTTAACAAGCAAAAAAGCTCTCTTTATTGCTCTTCCAGAATTACACTTGCAAGGAAAAATATTCTTTCGCAAATTGCGCAAATTCCATTGAAAAGTTGTCCTCTAACTTATCTTGGATGTCCAATTATATGAGGGAGAGTAAAGCTAATGTACTTTGAGGAATTGCTAGCTAAATTTCAAGCAAGGTTGCAAGGGGTGGTATACTAAGTTGCTCTCTAACGTGGGCAGGGTTGTTCTTATTCGGTCAGTGCTGACTTCTATTCCAACTCATCTTCTTTCTGTCTTGAATTTGCCAAAAGGGATCATTTCTAGATTAAATTCTGCTATGGCCTCTTTCTTTTGGTCAGGGAGGCCAAATGTTAATAAGAGACACTGGTGCTCTTGGAAGGATATTACCATGCCTAAGAAGGAGGGCGATCTGGGAATTAGGAGATTTGAGGATGTTCAACAATCATTTCGAATGAAGCAGGTGTGGCAGCTGCTGCAAGGCACTTCTTTGTGGTCAATATTTTTTTCTTCTAGGTTTCTACGCAAGCAGCACATCCTAAGGAGTAAAAAACAAAGTCTATCCAGATCCTTCAGTTCTTTAGCCCCTTATTTTGAAATGGTAGTAGAAAACTCGCAGAAGTTGGTAGGCAGAGGTGACACAGTGGATTTTTGGTGTGATAACTGGACAGGAAAAGGGCCTCTCATTTTAAAGGCCATCGGTGTTCCTAATGTCTTTCCACTTATTTTTGATTTATTGGGAAATGGAGGTTGGGAATTAGAAGGTATTTTACAACTATTGGATGTTTCAACGTTGTAGGAGATTTATTTAGCCACGCCACAGTTGATAGATAAAGATGATAAACTTATATGGAAGCATACAGATCAGGGGAATTTCTCAATTAAAACTGCATGGAATCTAATAAGACCTTCTGGTATTGTAAACATTCAGGCAGAAACTATTTGGAAACAGGTGGTGCCATCTAGTTCACAATTACTAGGGTGGAAAGTTATGAGGAGTATTTTACCAATGGACTCCACATTTCAGAGCATGGGAGTCTCATTGGTTAGTAAATGCGCATTGTGTGATAGAGAATCGGAATCTATTCAGCATCTATTTATTGATTGTAATTATGCTAAAGCAGTGTGGGCAGCGGTATCTCGGTTTATAGGGTTTCAGCTCATCCCTAATGAGGCTCCAATGATGCGTTTCATGAGGCTAGCTAGGATTTACAGGCTTTCATCACTCGGCCATACTTTGGTAAGGGGGATTTCTTTGTTGGTATTCTGGCAAATTTGGAAGGAGAGATGTTGTAGACTCTTTGATGGTCAAAAGCATCACTCTTCTTCTCTATGTATGCGGATAATGGGTTACTGTAAACTATAAGTTCATAAACTAAGCTTTTGGTTAACTGGATCAGCTGGAAGTTTCCAACACAGGGGTGGCTGAAACTGAATACAGATGGTTCTTCTAAGGGTAATCCAGGTATGTCTGGAGGAGTTGTTGTGCGCAATCACTGGGGGCAATTGGTTTTGGCTGGATCTTACTTTTATGGTTCGTCTACTAATATGTTTGCTGAAATGCGTGCTTTGTTGGATGATCTAAAGTTGTTGCTGGAATATGGACTAGAGCTCTACCCTCTCCTTATTGAAACAGACTCACAGGTTCTGGTGGACATGGTCTCGCATTCATCTTCTCCATCATGGAAATTTTGGGAGATACTAGATCAAATTTTTTCATCTTTAAGTAGGTTCAATTATCATTTAAAGCACATTTATAGGGAGGCGAATTCAATTGCAGATTCTTTGGCAAAGACAGGGGGTTCAGACATGACTTCAGTAATACATACATCATCAAACACATTGCCTATCCCTAGAAAGCTTCTGTTAATGCAAGATTTTCGGGGAATTAGAGCATTGCGCAAAAAATCTCCATCAGACAGTCATGATCATCTATTGCAGTTTATATAGTATTTGCAGGTGCTTAGCTTCAGAATATGAAGCATAATTCATAAAAGCAAATCAGAGTCCATATTTGGAAATAACAAGTACCTTTGGCAGCTTCTCCATTCTCCGGTTTTCTTGTTGGATATTTGTCTTCTGCTTTTTTTTTGATCTTGTTTCTCCTGCTTCGTTTGCTGGAAATCAGGAAGTGACTTTTTAGATTCTGCTGGATCTATCACAAAAGGCTTCTCCTGTTCTGTACTACTGTGGGATACTTCTTAGGAAGATCTGTGGATGGATGGGTGTTTTCCTCTCTTTTCTATACCTCTCTGCTTAATGGATTTTTTTGGGGAGTTTTTGTTCTTGGTGGTTGTCTGCTTCGTTGGAACTCCCCTTCCACTTCAGGCTCTATTGGATCTTCAAGACTCAGCTGCTGGTCTCTATTTCGTTTCATTGCTGCTATGAAGATATTAGGCTGGTTTTTTGTCATCTGCACTGTCATAGGAAGAAAAAGACTGGACTGCTATCTTTCATCGGGTGACTGTTCAGAGGATTGCTCAAGCTTCTGTTCAGATTCTTCCCCTGCCGCCTATCTTTTTTGTCTTCTCAAGAAGCCTTTTCAGCTGCCTATCAGATGGTTCTAACTCTCATCAACGCCTATTCAGCTGCCTTATCTGATAAGTGCAAACAGTCTTATCAGATGGGCAGCTATCAAGTGTTAAATGACCTTCTCAATTCCAACGCAAATCAGTGCACACGGTTCAGAACCTCTCTCAGCTTGTTTCTCAGCTCCCCACAACAGCTGCTTATGGGTGTCTGGGATTCTCTTGGCTGCTTCCTTCAGCTCCAGATTTCAGCTGCCAATGCCAACGACTGGAGCTCATTTATTAGACCAAGGCCGCTGCTTAAAAACATCTGCATCAATATTTGGCTGGTCATTTATTCTCTTTATGTAATATGCTTTTATTTCAATTTTTCAATCCATTGTAATAAGCATGCATTTTTTCTTTCTTTATTTTAAAATTTCTCATGTAATTAGATTGTATCGAGGGGTAAGGTACATACGTCCCTCATGGCTTGGTGTAATTTCATTCTTTAATTAATAAAATCTTCCTCGCACAGTTGAGGTTCCACCAAAAAAAAAACAAAAATAATATAATGAAGGAGACAAAAAGAAACGAAAAAAATAAAGCACTGACCAAGAAAGTGAAGTTAAGGAGAATGATCGATTAAGAATCACTACAACTAATTATAACAATAACTGACCAAGCATAGTATTATTGGTCACTCTTAATTCTATTAACTAGTAGGTGGATGAGTCAACCCTTACTAAAAGGTCAAGATTGATTTCTTATAAGGTGCTTGCTCATTTATGATTGATGAGTTATTTAAAAAATATAATAGCTAATTATTGATATTATTAGCTAATTCATTGATATTAATTTAATTTAAAAATCTAATTCATTGATATTATTGGATTAACACATACTAGATCCCGTTAAATATTGGGATCCACTAATAATCGAATGATAATAATAATTTAACTCCCAAATTATATCTCAATAGTGTTACTCTGACAAATTAAAATTTTTTTTATAAAATTTTTAATTAGAGCAAATTTTAATTTTTCTAAAAAAACCTTATGAAATTTCTAATAATACCTAAACCTTTTTAAAATTCCAGTGGGGATATCTACCCCCATGTTGAATCTGTTCCTGCCAAAGNTTTCAATCCATTGTAATAAGCATGCATTTTTTCTTTCTTTATTTTAAAATTTCTCATGTAATTAGATTGTATCGAGGGGTAAAGTGCATACGTTCCCCATGGCTTGGTGTAATTTCATTCTTTAATTAATAAAATCTTCCTCGCACAGTCGAGGTTCCACAAAAAAATAAACAAAAATAATATAATGAAGGAGACAAAAAGAAACGAAAAAAATAAAGCACTGACCAAGAAAGTGAAGTTAAGGAGAATGATCGATTAAGAATCACTACAACTAATTATAACAATAACTGACCAAGCATAGTATTATTGGTCACTCTTAATTCTATTAACTAGTAGGTGGATGAGTCAACCCTTACTAAAAGGTCAAGATTGATTTCTTATAAGGTGCTTGCTCATTTATGATTGATGAGTTATTTAAAAAATATAATAGCTAATTATTGATATTATTAGCTAATTCATTGATATTAATTTAATTTAAAAATCTAATTCATTGATATTATTGGATTAACACATACTAGATCCCGTTAAATATTGGGATCCACTAATAATCGAATGATAATAATAATTTAACTCCCAAATTATATGTCAATAGTGTTACTCTGACAAATTAAAATTTTTTTATAAAATTTTTAATTAGAGCAAATTTTAATTTTTCTAAAAAAACCTTATGAAATTTCTAATAATACCTAAACCTTTTTAAAATTCCAGTGGGGATATCTACCCCCATGTTGAATCTGTTCCTGCCAAAG